CTGCACATTTTCAATATCTGCATTACCCATCTAAGACCTAAGAAGAGTCAAGAAGACTGAGTACTCACAATTCCATCTGTGGTAAAGCACAACAGCAATTCCTAAGCATTTTGAAGAGAAATCCTAAGTATTCCAAGAAAGGTAAACAAACAGGCTCATTAAAAAACACATGGGCATTTCAGAAAATTATCCATGAACTCTCTGTCCAAAATTTCCACAAAAGCTCATCTCCTAAAAATAATGGGAACTACTTGGCAGTACATGCTTTCGAAAAATCTTGGCATCTTTTTTAAAATAACATCTGTCATTTACTTATATTTTTTAGGTATACTAATACTATCTTCATGATGAAAAAGGAAGGAAGAAAGAAGTTTGCTTTCCTTTTCTAATTGCAGTATACATTACTGTGTACTTCAAGATCTGAATGCTCTGAATCAACGCTTAGACAGCACACTAGTGAAACACTGTACTCTGATGAAAGTAGTAACTGGGTATCACTGATAGCTGATATTTCAAGTAGGCTATACTCAGGCAGTAACTGCATTTCCTACAGATATGTTGCAAGTTTTTATTTATCATAAAAGTGATTTCAAGCTACTGCTAAAATGAATTATACTTACTGTTGTAGATTTGTTTTTAATAGTATTAAATATTTAGTAATTACAAAGAGTCATTAGTTGGCAACTGGTCATATTATAAAAATGACTGCTCATCACCCCATAGTTTACAAGAGGTAGTGAACCATAGCCACAAACTGCAGCTATTTATAAATACCTGTATAAAGTTTCAAGTCACTTACAGCTGTTAAGCATGTGATCTGAAAGCAAAAGGGTGCTTTCCAAACTCAGCTATACCTCTGCCTGAATTATCTCAATGTCAAATGTGCAAGTCTTAATTATTTAATTGTATTCAAAGACTCACAGAAACATTGAAAAACAAAGTAATTATGGGACTGCGTAAGACCAGTTTGCTTTAACTGTCAGGCCTGCGATAGCACAAATTATTATCTGTGGCTTAATACGAAGCCTTGCTTTCTTACTTTGCAGGGAGCCAATGAACACTAAGTAATCATCTATATTATCACATGAAGTAGATCTCAGTTTAAAATTTAGGTCTTGGTCATGACCCTCTCCTTCACAGCCGTTTCAAAATGCCTAGATATATAAAATACCATTCTGAAATTATTACTACTTTTGTAATAAAAACTAGTTGTTCATTGCAGACCATGTTGTAATAGTCTCATTTTAATTTATACGAAAGGTTGGGGCAACTTTATTTTTTTTAATGATAGCCAGAAATGACTGGACCTCCCAAGAATATGTAATTATATCACAAGCTACTGCTGCTCTTTGCACTGTGGCACTTACAAGTTACGTAGAGGAGTTACAACATTATTACCTACAAACAAATAAAGAAGTATGTAAGCTAACTAAACAGCCAAAGACCAGTTTCAAGAGATACACAGACAAGAAAAGAGTGACGCTATGGTTCTTGAGCCTCTGGATACCAATGTTCTTTTCAGAAACTGAGATCACTACTCTTTCTTTCACCTTTACTGTGGAATCAGTGATACAATTTTTCAAATGTGGGTGGTCAATTGCTTGTATATAAATTTCAGTAATCATTCCACGCAACAGAAGGGAGACCAGAGAGGATTAGCGTAAGGAAGACATCTCAACACAATCAACTTTTGAATCTGAATCACCAGCCCAGCACTTTAGAAGACAAATTATAGCTTTCTGTTAACTATAAGGTACTTAACTTTCAAAGCTTAATGGATCCCATTTATCTTTTTCCTCATAAAATATTTTTTTAAAAATATGAAATTCTAGTTTCTAGCCAAAAGACTGGCCTGAAAACGTTACATCTGGAGTACACATCAGATAACTTCTTTATCCACAATGAAGATTTCCATTTCTACATTTTGAGAAGACAGATTTCAGCTTTAAAATACCTGAATATTATATTTTTGTTTCTCGATGCAGAAACATCTCAATGTTTCATCAATAATGAAAAATAGGAACTTCCTTTCAGAATAAGATGACTGCAACCAAATGACAGCAGCTTTTGCATTACTAGCTTCTTTGATACTCAAATTACTAATACATTATTAGAAATATTAATTATTCATATTATGATGTTATTGCTGAATGTGCTTCAAAACTCCACCACTAGAACCCTTACATTTTGACTCAAATCATGATCTGAGACCCATTTTGTCCCTGAAAGGGAATGAGTTTAAAAACTTTTAAGGCTACTAAAAATTCAAGCGATCCCTAATTCTCAAGAAAAACAAAAATCAAGTACATTCACTGGCTAGATTCCCTCACAGAACATCCGTCTTGTAAACACTGTCCCAGGAACAGCTGGAGGCACAGAAACTTACATAGTGTAAACAAAGAGCACAGGATGAAAAATCTCAGTAATGATATTTATGTTCATGGGTATGGAGTGGTAACTCAAACGTGGCATAGCCATTAACAAGTTACCTTGTCAGTGCCTCCTGTCTCAAATGAAGACAGGTATCATCAAGGACCATGAATTATGGATGCTTTATCTCTATTAGGTACAACACATTTAATGGCATTTGCATAAACATGTTCACGTAGGCTAGGGTTTCCTACAAAGTGCTGACAAGTAACAAGTCTGTCTCTCCCACTGAGCATCCCAAACAGCTTTCAGGTTTCAGCTAGACTAGGCCATCCACCCAAAGCAACTTCAATAAATCACAGCTGGTGTCCCATCAGGAGAAAACAGACCTCTCTTCACTGTGGAGAAGTGCTGCGGTAAGACTGCAAGAGAGGAACTGTGCACAGATGTCCCAGGTGGACGAGGCTTGCACGGAGAAGTGCATCAAAAAATGACAGACACAAATGATGACAGAGTAGAAAGCCAGCATATCCACTGCTGGCTGAGCCTACACTTGTTTCCCTGCCAATGGCAATGTGTGGAACTGGCTGCAAGCACCTGGGAGGCTGGTACTCTTATGCATTTGCTCAGCAATTACTCCAGCAATTCCACATGCATATTCAGGATTTGACTGCCTTTATTCACCAAAAGCCAACCTTTAAACTGGAAGTCCCCAGGTTATGCACAACTAGATACTGTCATTTATACAAAATGATCACTAAGCAAACGTCAGTGATTATCAGAACACAACTGACCACTCGAATCTAGAAATATCTGTTTGCCTAGTAACTGGGACAGCATACACATATTTAGAAATTATATTAAATGTGTGGTTTGGCTTATGCATGCTGTCTTTTCTTTAAAGAAGCTTGCAATACTGCAAGTCAAGTCTAGATAAAAAATCCTACCTTTCAAAGGCTAGATACTAGCAAAATAACTACCTCCATTTTACAACCAGCCTTGGGTAGAGAGCAAAGCAGTCCTGAGTTTTAATATTTCATTTACAATTAATGTATTACACAATAGCTGGGAAAGTCACTTTGCCTTTCTTCTCTAGTGTTTTCATCTGTTCAATGACAGTATTTGGTAGAGATGCCTTGCAATGCTAATGCCATTAGAATGGTGCACTTGATAATTATCTAGTGTGGTTACTTTGATGTTATAAAATGATACAAATATTAAGTACTTTGAAAAAAACCAACTGTCTTTACATCTAAAGGAGTAATTTAAAATGGTGAACCAGAACAGTAAACCAAAGTATTGAGTCACTTTTCCAGAGTCAGGCTTTCAGATCTCTCTTTCTTGATTCCTCATTCATAAAATGAGGAAAAAAAATATGGTCCTAACTTATAGAGGACTTGCAAAGATAAAGCTGAGCTTCCTGTTGCAACCAAGTCAAAGCTCTGGCATTTGGCTGCACTTCTACTTCCACTTTATTTAGTGCCCAGCTTTGCAGTCACTAGTTTGATTTCAGTGCTACTGAGCCTTCCAAAGAAGGTACGTGACAAAAACAGGAGCAGTAAATACAATGTTTCTGTGAATAAGGAAACACGACTGGGAAGAATGAGAAAGAATGAACACAGGGACCAGGAGTCAGGGGTTCCTGGTTCAGACTCAGGACTACCTCTGAATTACACTTGACCTTTCTAAGCCATTTTACCTTTTCATCAATTTTTTTCCACCAGTAAATGGGATGATAATACATTCTAATATGATCAAGGGAGTAACAAAACATATTGTAACAGTTTTGAGGCACACAGATAATGTGACAAACGCCAATTTAACCATAAGTAAGGAAATGAAAATTTTTGTGCAAACTCTACCAGGCTTTTGCTGTACAGTATAAAATAGGGCTGGATGCCACACTGAATACCAAGACTGAAAATGGATGGTCTGTTTCTAATTAATAACGCAGCATGTGATCAGCCATAAGACTATCCCAGAGTAGATATGCATGTAGGACAGAATTAAATTGTTCACACAACTTTTATCCTTTAATTTCCTAAGTTTTTTGGTGCCAGACTTCCCACTCTTCAGAAAAGTTACATTTTGTATCACAAGCCAGTAACAGGTGCCACTTGCAACTGAGGGTTATTTTCAGGGAAAAGTTATCAAAAACTGTCTTGAGGTGATGAGAACAGCTGCCTCAATAAGAACCCTGGCATAATTTGTCATGAAAACATACAAACAGGCAATACGAGTTGAAATATGAAAAGGAAAATGCCATGCCACCAGGGCATGCTCCCCGTAAGCACCCAGCTTTATCAAGAAAAAGCAGAGAACACCTCAGGTAGCTTTCTCCACTCTCCAACACCACACTTGGGACGACAACCTGGGGGAGAAACGGCACCTTCCCGGGGAGCAGCAAGTCCCACTTCTCCACAGGAATCTCACCAGACGCCATGGCCCATGACCTTCACCAACAGCCCCCCTGAGGCCCTGCAGAACCCCGCCACACCCCTCCCAACGGTACACAAATAATGTGACAAACACCAATTTAACAATAAGTAAAGAAATGAAAATTTTTGTGCAAACTCTACCAGGCTTCCCCCCTCGGGGCGGGGCGCGCACCCTCACCGCCCCTCACCGACCTGCCGCCCGCATGGCCCCGCCACTGCCCACCTTCGCTCGCTCTTCCGCCGGACCAAACACCCCTAAGACCCCCCCTTCCTCGTCCCCGAAGCCTACCCGTGACCATCTCTCGCCCGGCACCACCTCGGCCCCTCAGCTTGCCCCCTGGGCCACAACATCCGCCCGCATGGCCTCGCCGCTGCCGCCCTTCGCTCGCTCTTCCCCCGGGCCAAACAGCCTTGTCCCGGCCGCTGAGGTTGCTACCGCCGGGCCGGAAGCGTGGGGCCGCCCCCGGCTCCTCCCGGTTGTGGGGCTCCGCCGCCCGCTCCGGGCCCTGCCGTGTCCCCCTGCGGAGGGGAAGCGTCGCCGCCCGGCTGTGAGGCGGGAACGTGAGGGGAGACCCCGCTGAGATCCTCCCACCTCCGCTCTCCCGTCTCCCCCCGTTAGGCCCCCTCGACCGTCGAAGTTGCTGGGCTGTGGGGAGAAAATGAGGAGGGAGCGGAGCCTTTCTAGCTCTGCAGAGTTTTGGGTTTACTGCAGGGACGGCAGCAGGGAGGCCAGGTCACCCCAGGGACCCACCGCCTTGTGTGGAAGGGCCGCCGAGAATGGAGGGCCCTGGGGAGATTATCCCCCAGAGACCTCTGTCAGAACCTCACGGTTCCAGTACCCCGCTGTGAAGGTGTTTTGGTGAGGGGGGATTTAACTGCTCCGTCGTGTTATGCCGTGTATTTTTTTTTTTTTGACGTGGTACAGAGGAAAACCAAAACCCGAGGAGACAAATGAAACAGACTGCAAACACCTCAGCTCGCCGCCTGTGCTGACCCTCCCATTTAGTCAGGAGCATCAAGGTAGCTTCTTTCAAGTTCAAACTAAAAGGCCAAACGTACGTGAAGAGCTGGAGTTGCCCCTTAAAATAGGATTGCAGGAAAACTAGAAGTAGCTTCTGGAAGAAAAAAAAGTGTTGGTTTGCAAAGGAAGCAAGCCTTGTCTGGCTGCACTTCACGCACGGGTGTGTGCATTTCGCCCATCTGAACTTCTGTGTTCCCCTTCCCTACCAGACCTTTAATGCCTTGTGGCTGATTTTAGTGCAATTTGCTAAAGGTATGAAAGATCTGAAAGGTGATGTTGCTAAGTGTCAGTTTCAGGAGTGTGGCTGTACAAAACGGAGGAAACAACTGCTCAGCTCTGCCTGAACTGAAGGAAAGGCTGCAGAGTGAATTCAAGCGGTATTAGAGAGAGGAAAATCCACATAGAGGCAGCTTTTATAGATGCCTCAGTGCGACAAAACCTTCACAGCTTGGAGTCAGCCACAAACCACAAATCTGCAGGAGGCTGGACTTCAGTCAAAGAACTACTTCTGTAAAGCCCTTTCGTGCTGCAGGGACCATGTCCAACTGAAATATGTGAAAAACTGAACCATTGTGAGCTGTTCCTGTTTCTGTCATTACACAGGTAGACGCTTGTTTTTTATTTGGTATGTTTCTTGGGGTTTGGTTGTTGTTTTTTTTCAGTATGCTTTTGCTAATGAGTGGGTGGGTTTGGTGAATTTCTGCCTTGTCCTGGCCTACCATACAGGAGAAACCTCTGGCTACATGTACACAGGGAAAAACCAGACTAGATCCAATCAAGTCAGTCTACAGGGAGAGGCTGGGATACCTCCTGTTGTTCCTTTCTGCTCATTTTTACCTTCAGGTATCGTTTATTGAAGTGACAGGTATTTAGGCAATACCTTGTTCCAGTACTGTATTTTTGGACACAGGGGACACAGCACTAGAGTGACAGTAGTCTTGAGTTGTGAACAGGCTGAACGGGGAGGAGATAACTTATAATGTTATAATGGAGGAAGCAATATGTCAAAGATAAAGCATTTAGAAATACTGTATCTGACTATTTTGTCAAGGCAATAATGATTGCTGCTTCTTAAAAGATGGGTTAGATAATGTGGTTGGATGTGGTTGGGATGATTTAGCAGTCTGAACTGTGATGATCTTGACTACAGAAATAAAAGCTCTTAAAAAGATAATTAAGTATAAATGTATTTAAATATAAAATAACTAGAATGGAACTTGGAACTCTTGTCATTCCAGTAAACCAAAACAAAATTAGGAGATTTTCCTGGGTATTAGGATGAATTCAGAACAAAATGGAGTTGTGATAGGCCAATTAATTACATTTTTAGAGGAAGGAAAAGTAAGCTAGCACTGTGGAAATGAGTCCTAAGAGGAATAATAAGATTTGTTCTTCTCAGGCAGGCTTCAATTAGCTGTGGAATGATAAGCCTGCAGCAGAGTCCAAAAGCAAGAAGCTCTGCTCCACATGGAGCCCTTGCTGGAGCATTGGTCAATGTGCATGGCAAGCACAAAGGCTTGCAATGGTATGGGCAAAATGTGTGTTTTCATTCAGGGGGAAGAATGAAGGGTGGTGCTGGGTGTAGGGTGATCCAGATGAGCCTGGAAGGACACTGTCTAGGACAGGTTGCCGAGAAGATGAAGACAGAGATGGAATGTAATGCAGGAATTGTGTTGTTAGATCACAGTTTAAGGGAGGATAAACCTTGGTGAGGATTGTGGCAGTTTTAGGAAGAACTTATTGGTGTAATGCAGATCGTTTGTCATGGTATGTGCACTTCAATGTTGGCTGAACTGAGCTGAACTAGTGTTTGCTTGAACACAGAGTTTTCCTGAGCTATGGTACTGCCATCACAGCTTTTGAGACCGTGATACTCACCTGTGCAGGACAACAATGAGAACAACAGGGGTAACGGTGAGCATGGTGCTCATCTCTGACTATTTGCAACTCAAGACGGTGTTAGGTATAGCAATAACCAGCTATACCTTATTTCTAAGAACAAAGCAGGTGAATTTTCTTACTGCAGGGTTATTGCCATCAATTTATTCTTCCTCCTATACCAGCTCAGTCACAGAATCATAGATTGATTCTGTGGGTTGGAAGGGACCTCTGGAGATCATCTAATCCAACCCCCCTGCCAAAGCAGTCATGAAGGTTTTCTCTGGTGAGATGTAATGTCTGCATATGACTAGATATTACTGTCAATGCCATTTCCAGCCAAGATAACTGCTGACAAATCAAGTTTGCTGTGAAGTCTCTCACGTGGAGATCTTCTCTAAAAGCCCAGCATAAGAATTAGGTTTCCCCAGTTCTTCAACTTCCTAATGACTGCACTTTGTATATATCATAAAATCAAGGAATTTATGATTCTTGTTGGAGGTGTAAGAACATTCGCTGTTTCTAGGCAAGGAAAAACTAGTTAAATTATTAAGCAAACTCAGTACTTGTCATGAAGCACTGCTATATTAGAGGAAAACAAACAAAAAATCCATGTTAAAATATGAAAAACGTGTCTTGGGAATGACATCAGTGTTGTGCTCAAGTTGTCTGGGTGTCTTCAATATGAATTTCAAGGTTGAATTTTAATAAATTTACTTCAAGTATAGGTTTACCTCCAAACATCTTAGACACATGACACTAATTTTGGGATAATTATATACTTCTGTAATGCTTTTTAGCTTTAGTTTCTCACTGGTCTTCTCAAAACTACCTGCTAATACCGGTTTTGGTTTTCCCTTCATAAATATACTGCTGTTGCTGAAATAGAGGCTTCTTTTGGATATAATTGATATTCAATACATTGCTAGTATGATTTCCTGGATATATTACATGTTTGTTTCCTACATCTGCAAAGGTTTGAACAACTTTTGTCTGTTAAAGGGTTTGAAGTGGTCTTGAAAGAGTTATTCACAGTTCATGATTAACTCTTCATTTTACTTGCAGCTTTCATTGTAAAATCCACTGATAATATTGCTAGGTTATACTACAATGCAGGTAATATTGCTATAACCACTAATATGAGCGGCTGGGATGATGATACTGTGTGTTTTTGCATTTTAGCAGGGATTTGCATGTGTGTAGGGTTTTTTGATTCATGTTGTAATCATGTTTATATGACCATGCACACAGATACTTTGTTTCAGTATCAGATGCTACTGTGGGAATTAACATGGAATTAGCTGAGTGTCAACTCTTCTTACCTAGTGGGAAAAAGGAGAAACTAAGTACATGATACATTTCCAAATATTGGTTAAATCTTATGCAGAGTTATCAAAGAATTAAGAGCATTGCTCAGCTTGTATGATAGCTTTCAAGGAAGCAAGAAAATAGTGCTTGAGACCTGCCTTTTGTTAAGTTAAGTTTGTTAAGTTTTGTTAAGTTCAGGCCTATTAAAATAATAATACAGCAGATCTCGAAGGCAACTTGAGTCCAAAAGAAAATGTTGCTATGCACAGTAACACTGTCAGTTAAGGAAAAAATAGGTCAACTGAGACAAATCTAGTACCTTCTTTCTCAAGTACCATTATGATTAAATTGCTTAATAACGGAGATGAAATCTAAGAGAATATAAAAAAGGTGGCCTGGAACATAAAAGCACTGAATGTCATGAAAATAATTTTTGTCATTCTCTAATTGCATTCTTCTATTAAAAAAACCCCATCTGTTTCCTCCCATAGCGTCCTTGGTGGTCACAACAGAGTTTTATATAGTTTTGAAGAAACTTCAGATATGTTATGCATCTGTATTTCAAAAAAAGTCTTTTTACAGTATCACAGAGAGGAGGAATGAAATTCCTGTCCTGCCCCCCATCTATGGAATATAATTTCATGTAGAATTACCTGCTATTATGATTTAAGTTTTGGTATGCATGTACAGGTCACATTAATCCTCAAGATTTGCTTAACAAAAATCTATGAATTGGGTGACATTTAAGCCTTCAGTGGTAACAAACTGAATTAATCATGTTGTGATTATAAACCAGTTCAAGTGCCGGTTACAGCATAAAAAAGGCGATGCCACAATGTAATGCTCTATAGCAAGCTGCTCTTACATACTTAGGAAGGTAATAGCTGATGTGTCTTGTCTATGTCTTATGGTAAATGTTGGTAAATATGAATTTTTGATGCCTGCCATCATGGTTGTTTTATACCTTTATTTGAAAATTTGTGTTGAAGTACTGTACC